GAAGAGAGGGGCAGCAAAGTAGCAGAAAAAAGGATGTGGACACGGGCAGAACTTCAATGCCAGTGTACATGCGTGTTAATATTCATTTTACATTGACGTCTAGTAAACCCATATACCTAAATTCCCTTAGTCTTTCTATACATCTATTTGGCTAGTTTGTTTATTGTTAATGCGGAGTAATAAGTTAAGTTCTACGCGTTCTTCGGGTACTATAGAATTCTGGAAATTGGTTTGTTCTAGAAATAATCAGTTTGTTAATGTAATCAGTGGAATGAAACAGTCTGTATAGGGAGAGTATGATACTCAGAAACCAGGCGCAGGTTCTGACTTCTAGGGGCAAACTGTTCCATATTTTAGAATACATGACTGTGAAGAAGCTTTCGTGGAGTGATGATTCCTTGTCACTGCAAGTTTGGTTTCGCAGTTCGTAGCAGCCTTCCGTAAGAACTGTAGAAAACGGAATGGACTTTGGGTTGGCGCCCAACCTTGATGGTGACCTTAGTGAGGGCTTACAATTAAACACTCATATGAACCTGTTCTGATTGCTTGTACTATAATTCAACAGTTTAAACCCTTGATAAGCGCAATTTATAACAACTGACTGTGCCTGTAAAAATGGCACGCATTTATTGCAAACCTACCCATTTATACGAAATATATACCATGTAATTTTCTGAGAATGACATTTTATGTAAGAACTTAAAGAAGAATATTAGTTTTATAATAAGTCGTCTCATCCAAAGTGGGTCAGGATTTAGAGACTACACCTTGGAATGTAGTTTTTCTTGCAATCATATCCAAGTACTTTGGATGTGAAGTATCGTTGGATATATTCCATCCTCAGCTTTTCACATACGCGAGTGCTGCTAATAACAAATGGACGGTATTCTAGTAGTGTCCTTACACTTATTTTGTATAGAATGAGCTTGACTTCATTGTCGTGAAAGTCCCCGGCTTTCGAGTTTGTGATGCCACTTGCTTAGAAAATGTTAGGTCACTAGAGTACCTTAGGTCCAAGTCAACGACACTTTGGAATCTGGGTAGGTAAGCAGATTGAAGCGTTAATTCTATGTCGACTGAGGATGCACTGAAGCATATCCAACCACATTTGTTCAGACTGAATTGTGGAATTCATAAAGATGACCAGGTAGTCACTTTATCTAATTCATTCTGTACGATATTCTGGAAGTACCCTAGGTCATCGCGCTGTAATGTGTAAGCTGCTTTTAGGTCATCTGCACAGATGAATGGTTTCCCGCGTGAGAAACAAGCGCATATGTCTTTGATATAAAGTGCAAATAGGAGCGGCCCAATGACGCTACCTTGAACTACACCAGAAGTGATCAGCCAGGTTTTGAAGTCTCAGACCTAAGTTTAAATATTCGGGATCTAATACTAAGGAATGATTTAGGCCGTCCTAATAGTAGGTCACGTATTCCTAAGGAGTTCAGCTTATGTATCAGTAGAAAATGGTCCGTACAGTCAAATGCCTTAAAAATGTCATAGTAGGTGATGAGTACTAGTTGTCGTCTGTCACGACTACTGGTCACAAAATTAAAGAAGTCTAGGCGACAGGTTGAACATGATATGGATTTTGGGATTCCATATTGGTCTGGACTTGCAGTATTGCGGCTAAGCATGTGATTGAGTGTGTTATCTTTAACTAGTCTCTCCATAATTCTAGATGCTATAGGTGTGATGTTGATTGGCCTGTAATTGTTGACTCCTGTTTTCGAACAGTATTTGTGTTTAGGTATAATAGATGTTATTTTCCATCTATCCGGATAGGTTGCGTTTCTAAGGACATTGTGAAGGTTTTGAGCGGTGGTATGGGAATGCCACGGCCATCATATTTATGGAAATACGATGATATACCGTCAGTGCCGAAACCTTTGGAGCTGTTGAGGGTTTTAATGGCTTGGATAATGTTAGCATAAGTGAACTCAGCGGCACTGATTTGTTTTGGTGTGAGAAGACGTATAGATTTTGCCATATTAGTAGCACGGTGTATGCGGAGTAATAGGACTCTAGGCTTAAGGTAGTTAGCTGCAGATGTTTGGTTGAATAATTCACACATGTCCGCGGAATCAGTGTATAGCCTACCTTTGTCTATGAGGAGAGAAATGCTGTGATTTTTGCTATTCAATCGCTTCTTTAGTATTTCTGCGAGTGCATACACCCCAGCAGGGCTGACTACTGCGGTGCCTTCTTCATTTCTCGTGCACAAATCTTGAGCTTGTGAGATGCAGCTAAGAGTGTTAAGTACTATCCCCAGCGTGCCGAAGCCGTGGTGTTTGAAATAGCTTCTCAAGAGTCTCTTCAGTTTCGTACGATCCATTGGTTTTATGTGAAGAAACTCTGAGTGTTTGGAGTGGAATGGCAGCATCTAAGCATGTGTTTGAGTTCTGGTAGAAGATGCTCAGAGCTCTTGAGAGGTCATCAGTAGTGAAGTATTCGCCCCATTCGGAGGATCTTAGCACTGATTCTACTAAGGCCCAGTTCGCCTTACTGTAGTTCCCATATATTACTTGTGAAGTGGAGGTGTGAGATGCATTGCTACTCAGTGGAAGTGGCAGAGCACACATCACTGTTTTGTGGTCACTACCTGAAAACTTAGAACCCACTAAGATTGAAAGGGGGCTTATATCGTGACAGAATATTAAGTCTAGTACATTGTCACCTCTTGTAGGGATAGTGACAGTTTGTTTCCAGCCCAAAATATCCAGTGTACCTTAGAGCTTGCCATATTTAGTTGGGCCTTTTAATAAATCCCAGGTGATTTCGGTTAGGTTAAAGTCTCCACATATGATCTTATGCTCGTGTGGAAGAGTGGATACTTGCTCCAGTACATTTTTGAGTTGTCCCGTAATCACTAAAGGTGCCAGGTGCTCTGTAAATACATCCTATTAGTAGTGTAGCACTTTTGAAGTGTACGTTGACCCATAGGGTGTCGTGCATGCCATTGGGTTCCCTATTTACGAACTGTACAACAGCAAGTGTACACTAGGCAGCCTCCTCCCTTACCACTGTTCCTGTCACATGGAGAGTGTGTACCCACCGATGCTTATCTCTTCGTTTGGTATATTGGAGTGACACCAGGATTCAGTAAAATGATTATTCGGGGCTTATAAACCAGCGTGTGTGCCCTGAGAATCGGTTGTTTGTTTAGGATAGACCCAGCATTAATAAGTATTCAGTAAGTTTGGGAGATGAAGTAATGTTTCAAGTATTTAAGCTCCTTAATCAGGCTCAATTGTGGTCTGGCAAGATGTGGCAAGATGACCCCATTTACAAATAGTGTCAATATCATGTCCTCGTGTGTCCATCGAAATACTACCTGCTCCTTTTAGTGGATTCTTTATAGCACAAGTCACTTTTAATCCAAGGTATTTTGGAGACTTGGGTAGGCGCTTTCATTTGCCCTATGTTTGTACAAGCACTGAATGTTAATAATAATTACCTGTGCATTAAACTGTGCCCGCTTTCTTCCCGATGGTGAGCCGACACTAGTGGTACGGTTTGAGAAGAGTTAACATCCCCACCAATCATCCCTAACTGCAAATTACATTTTTTTGGGCTGCAAGCAGATACTGCAAAAATGTGTTTTCTGGGAATTAGTTGTCTTTTTAATGCTGAATGCCCAGGCTTCTTCTGTCGATTGTGGTTTTCCTGTTTTTTTGGAAGATCAGGTATCTTCACCTCTGTGTGCATACCTTAACTTCCAATTTCGCCGTTCCTTCTGAGAAACTTCTTGCTTCTCGTTTGTCAGTCTTTTTGCAACATGGGGTACAGATCATTCATGAAGTTCATATCTTTTTACTAGATCAGATTATGCCAGTTGTGTTCATCCCCTGAGGTCAGCTGCACGAATCAGTTCAACACATATACTAAGATAGTCGGTGAGCATAAGCAGAGATGTACAAATTGTGTCTTCAGTGAACTTGCGGTTGTGAAAGTGACGACACTGATCTCGGTCTGTTGAGGCATCAGGGATGTGAACTACTGTAAATACCTAAAGAAGTCAAGATATTTCTCCACACTCAGTGGTTTTCAGTGACTCATTCAGTTGGCGTTCGTTTGTCTCGAGATGCACCTAAAAATCATTCAAGGCTTTACATCTACAACTAAAATTAATCTGCATCACGAACCGCTCAAATCTTTGTGAAGGTAATTGACGAATAATGCTCAAGACCTCACCGTGCAGTGAGTGGTAGGTGAGTGTAACAGTAGACACTAACAGCAGTAAGTAAAAGCTTAGACCAACCAACATGACGTATTAAACTAACTAGAAAAGAGGTGTGGTCGCAGAAGTTTACCGAAGACCAGGAACCTTTACCCTACAAACAAGAGCCTAGCACGAAGAAACCATTTTGGTTTGCACTAGCTCATAAAAAGGATATTAGATTTTAGCAACTACGATTATGGCATACAGGTTTTACTGTTGAAGTTATGTTATCGGTCCGCATTTTCTAACAGAGTAAACTACACACTAGTCCATTAGCTAATTGCACAATGCAATTCCACAGATTATGAATAAGGGCTCCACCAATCCTTACATAAATATACCCAGCATGGATGAAATCATGTAACTTCACTGGGTTCACGAACCCCAGTATCAGTAATACCGCCTGCTGAGTCTTTACCACTCGAAAACCCACTGATTTAGGTCTAATTGTATACTTTGTCTTCTAATGTGCTTTTTGTGATTTAAAAACTATATAGAAATATGAAATCTTTCTTGTAGGGCGAGGAAAACTTACATGAGGCTTCTGAAAAACTTATATTTTTATTCTAAAACTCCATTAGTTTTATCGTTTAACTTATGTAAAATTCAAGGACTAAGGATGCAGTCACATATCTAGGTCATCGTTATGGCATCGACCTTAGGTCACGTTAGCCTGGAGCTTGGGATGTCATTGGCTGGTGTGTAGGTCATCATTAGGCTCTCAAGGTTGCGGGCTTATATTTTGTCCGCACCTGGCCCAGCTGAGAATTTGGCCATGGCATCTGTCGACAGTGGGGACGTAGGGAATATAGATGCCCTTCTGAGAGCCGCAGAAATATTAGAGAAGAAACTGTACAGTAAAGGTATTCATTAAGGATTTTCTAAATTATTTGTTATAAAGGTGGCTATGACACAGCTGATGCACTCCGTAATATTAGTGTGAGCCAGTTTGTCGATTGGCTAAATTCTGGAGAACAAACTGACGCTGAAACAACTCTGGATAATAATATGTAGGTTGTATCTCAGGACTTCATTGTTTTTAGTGCTTCAACTATCCAAGTAGAGCTTGCGAATCTCATTCAAATGTCAGGATGCCAAAAAGTCAGTGATTTCCAAACGGCATTTGGATCTGGTCACAATGCAAATGTAAGTATCTTTTAAAGAATGTTTGACAAATAATTAGTTTTTACATAACTGAGACTTATATATGCATTGTCTCAATGGTGCTTTTTCACTACTTTAAAAAGTTCCTGTATGAAATTTATGAAGATTTACCTCAAAAGTTGGTTTTTAAAAGTGAACCTAGTTTATCAGGTGTAGAGCCTTTAGTACATGATATGTTATGCTTAGCAGTATGACAGAAAGTTCACATAAGCCGGACTTAACATCGAGATCCATTCTAAGCGACCTATCACATTCATGAAGCACGGTTTAAATAACAGTAGTCTACATAGACTAAAAGCAAACTGAAACTTGCAAGCCATCTCTAAAGAAGACTGATTCTGCAGGAATTAATACAGGCTGTTTAACTTACTGAAATAGTGCTGAATATGTAAACGGATTCATGTTGAATATTAAACCAGATATTTCCTCGTTATTACCATTTACTCATCACCGAATAGAGACAATAATGCAAGCTTCCATCATATCTTTTTACTTTTCCTATCAGGCTGTGATAGCTTAAATTGATTTGAAAAACTGTTTTGTAGTGTATCAAGTTCGTACCACCTTATTCGATGCTTTATGCCTAAAAGCTGTCAACAGGGGACCTGGCGTCATACTTCAGAGTTCGGAAGGTGATAAAAAGTGAACATATTGCTCCATTTTCAACAATTTTTAGCCTTGTCACAGTCTATGGATATTTATCCTTCTCATCCTAAGGTCTTCAGCAAAGCAACTTCCACCAAACTATCTTGCATTGTCTTGAGATGATAATGAAGTAGGAGTCAAGTTGTTTATAATTCAGTTGTAATGTCACACTCAGGGCTATGTGTTCACTTATTCTCTTCCAGATTCTGAAAATCTTCACTAATTCCCATTTCAATTTTCTCTTCGCCACGCTCGTCTTTCTCTGTAGTAGTATCAATAAGTTTCAGCTGCAGCCACGTGAACTGATGCACCTGTGTGCGAAACCCTGAATTTATTTGTTGGTCAGTTAGTTCATCACCATAAAGCACAATCTTAATTTTAGGTTGTATTACGAATCATAATTTGGAAACCTACGTTCTTTACATGATCAAGATCAGAGTCCCTGTTCATGTAAACTTATTGTTTTCTACCCTGGGCTAACGTACACTGGGGTAATTTATCTGCTGGCAGTGGTAGCTAAATACACTCATATACACAAGCATACTATTTTAACAGGTGATCACGCTGTATCGCCTCCTGAGTGTTAGAAATACTACCATTAATGAATAAAGTAATTTCACTCTTATACTTGTCAAAACTCTATTGATTCTCTTCACTCATCTTCTTGTCCACCTTGTGTGCTATTTCGAACGTGGCAACTCGAACTGCTGCACTTCGGGGCCAAGTTCTATGTTGAATCCGGACAGACAGACAGAAAGTAGTTGAAAGACAAGCGATCTGTTCTCGTTCGTTCAGAGATAACATTAGTGAGGTTTTCTAGACAGGTGAAGTTGGTCATTTCAATCTCTATTTTGGGGTGATGCACTGGAAAATCTGCCAGACTAGTACAGTGCTTCAAAGTCAATTAAAAAATGTACAAATTCAAAAGGTGTTAGATCAAAATAATAGGATTCAATCTGACAAGGTAAAATATAATAATCTTTGTAAGTAATTATTTATCAGTAGCATTTTCTGAGACTTAAGATCCCACATCATACTTAGCGACTACTTGGACAACTGCTTTGTCGAGTCGTTAAATTTTAAAATCATGTAAGTAAATGTATTCTTACTGGGATTATATACGGTAGTGCAGATTCTTTGTTTGACATGTAGCATATTGGCTGTAATAAATATGTTCTGTATGTTGTTCCAGGATTAAAAGTGTATTCGTTCACCAAAAATATTTTCTACCCCAGTTTACACTATTCGAAAACAATTCAGCTCACTATCACTATCTCATTTTATTTTCCCTATATATTCTGTTATGGATGAATATTCCATCAGTAAAGACTTACTGATTTCAGTCAGTTTCAGTCAGAGCATTGTAATAGATCACATGCAAAAGTGTTACTGATTCCAATATCTAGACTTATTTTGGAATTCTGTAAAACTGCACCTTTCAAAGTGATTACTGAGGTCATAAATTAAGCGAAATAGAAAGCAGGTATTACGAAAATTCAAGACTATGTTAGCGGATCATAGTAATGTGTGTGAGGATATCAAATACTTCAAGTTTATTGCACTGGCAATATATTTTTGTCGGTGCCATTCGAGTTGAAACATTTATTCATAGTAATTTGTGAACCACTTCCGCAGAAGCTGTATTCCAAACAGCTGCAAGAAGTTTGTCTGCTAATGCTCTTTATTAGAGTGCGTTGCATAAAGTAATTTAGTACCAATTAAAAAAGGAAATTTCTTAGTTACTTCAGAGATACATAGACATTCTCTCCAAATACTTTTAGAGGAGCATTTGTCAACCTGTATTCATTTCTCAGTTAGAAAAGAATGATATTCAATGTGTTCCTGGCGGATTCCGATTTCGTCATATATTTATGACACCTCGGGTCACTGAGTGGCATTATCTCTCGAAATTCATTCAGCAAGTCAGTCAAGCGGGTAATCCAGTTCTCTCTTGGATACCCGAAGCCTTATGTGGTATTTTTGGACTTATTAATGACTATTTAGGTGAATGAATCTATTACTGATGCCGCAAAACGTTTCAGATCTTCAACAGCAAGTTAGATATCATTGTTTCTCTACACTACTAGACCAGTGGCCAAACGTGATAGTTTAAGGGCCGTATTGTCTGTCAGTTTAAACATTAACGTCAACTACTAGGTTATGCGTAACCACGTTTGAATTATGTAGCATGTTTAGTCAAATTTTTTATCATACATATTCGCTTGATTATAAGCAAATGATGATAGCAGGTAATCCAATGGTTCTCTAGCTTATCAGTTCTTGTGGGAATTGTTCAGATACCTGCAATCATAGCAATCGGATCTCAATACACTGAAGTATTTTATATACTTATGGGTGGTGTTGTGGCGAACTGATCCAAGTAACTTCACGCTTGTCAGCACAACTAAAAACCTAGGGAGATTAAAAAGCAGGAAGTGATATTCTGTTACTCACCAAGTAGTGCATATACCTCTCAGCAGTCCGCCCTGCTCTGCTCTATAGGTGAAAAAATTGCCTGGTGAAAGTAAAAGATATGAAAATATTAACAGGTTTTCACTGTAGGCACCTTGGTTCATTCTTCTGCTTTAAATGCAGCAGCATGGTAGTCAGTATCGACATTAGGTGTAATAAATTAGGTAAGAAAAGTGAGTCGATGGACAAGGCTACTACGTATTACCGATTATGTTATCGGCCTTGTGTATCGTGTATCAGGCGACCGCCAAAAACAGTGTCAGTTGAAGTTCGTTTAGTCTGGGAAAGAGTTAGACGAAACATGGCATCAATCTATGAAGTCATTCACTTTTAGTCAGAGTCACAAACGGAGGTATGGACTGAGGTCATCGAGACGTTAAAGACCAGTCGTTGGCGTCTTTTTGACATGGCTCAGCCTCGTGTACATTAATGCAGATATCTTCACTCATTGTCAGCTTCCAGATTTGGGAAGTTTCCAATAGTCTTTATAAAGTTATGTTTGCGGTACACCCCCGTTCATTGTAGTTCTGTTGCTTTTTTCTTTACTTTCGTATTAGCTTTCTTAAATTTGTGGCAGCTCGAATTAATGCTACTACTGTGTTTTTAAGACAGTCAGTTAAGACAGGTAAAATACTGGATTTGACTGAAGACCACGGTACACTTATTTTATTTCTCACTATTAGGAGTGTGATCACTATATGTCTTCGTCCCTGTTTTCTTGTGTTGTTACAACAGCTTATAGTAGTTTCATTTACATGCCTTCTTTTTTCCCGGGTTCATCTTCAATTTTCCATACGAAGTTTAGTGTTACGGGCAGATTTACATTTGTACACCTGTGTGTGTGTGTAAAGTTTTATATAGTGTGCATTTATCTTTGCTTGTTTAACAAAAATAAAACTGATAATTGCTCTAAAGTTATCATTAGCTAAATGCTTGACATTCATAACATAATTTATCTATTTTACACAAGAAAACTTCATGTTTCTCCTCTAATTTCCTTGTTAGTCTTCAAAATCAATAACTCTGAGTTATCAAGATGATGATCCCGCGTTCATATATCATCCTAGTAACTGGAAGCACTGTGATACGTCACACCTGAGATCAGATTGTATTTCTTCAAACGTTTCGCCAAATCACTATCGTATACTTACAGCTGCTTCAGGCGTTAGCCAATTGTCAGAATCATCACTAGTGGGAGGAACAGGAGATGAACCTGATGGACTATCAAATACAAGTGGTATGCGTTAGTGTTTTTGTTAATTTGTATAACTTTGTTTGTGATGGTTTCTTAATTCGAATTATTTCACTGTTTTACTACTGTGCTTATACGTCCACATCTGTTTATCATCTATAATACGATTAAGCTTTAGTGTGTTGTAGTACATGTAGAGTGTGAAACCTTACCAAGTAGTTGTCAGCTATCTCAGTATACACGACTGACAGCTTTAGTGGTTAACTTGATTAGTTGTAGTGATTCCAGTTTTGCTCTGCTAAAATTGACTGTCCTTGGGGTGTGTAGTACTCTCTCGTCGGTATACTGAATAGAATCAATGTCTTTTATCATGGGTCTCTGTTTACGTATTGATATTTTGTAATATGTTCGAAGTATTTTGATGATAACCACACAATTGCGTGCATTTCATCATAATGCCTGTATTATTTGTGTTAAAATTCATTTCCCAAAGCTCTGATTTATAGTTACCTCTATTTCACCATAGATGACGTTTGTATGGACAACTCAAGTCAGGATAGTTTCTCAGGCAACTTGATATCTGTTCGTCCTTCTGCAAATACGTTACACGCTCTTAACTCATCTCCTGGTCCTGAATGTAATGGCAATGTGGATGCTGTGTACTATAAATCTCGTTTAAGATCAGCTTTATTGACACCATATTCTCCTGGCTGTGAAATACATTCCAATGATACTCAGCAGTCAAGTGAATCCTCTCATAAAGATGCATCGGTTACTAATTTATTGCCTACACATCAAGCGACTACTGGAAATATTGTGTCAGGAGTGTGTTCTAGTCAAACATCTCCACAGAGAATGTCTGGAAGCGGTGATGATTCGGATCAGCTAGAAGCCAAACGCCAAACACCTGGAAGCCCTAGAAGTATTACAACTCTGCAACAACAAACCTCCTGGAGTGCACCTCCGTCTGTCTCATCGAGTAGTTGTGCTACTCCAGATAAAGAGTTTTGCGATATCCCCACTCAAATTGATACTCCTCAACTTGTTTATCCAAATCGTCCATCACGATTTAGCTGTTCAAGCCTACCTGTAAAGAAACGCAAATTAGATTGGAAACAATCAAGCAGTAATTCTTCTGATCTTCAGTCACCTCACAAACATCTATTTCAATCAAAGAAAGTTTTAACTAACAGCCCATCTGATTTTGTTACCACTAGTTCTACACTATCCACAACTTTAAGTCGCAACTTTTTCACCTGTTCCTTGAGTAAAGACAGCATTCCAGAGAGACGGCAGTCAGTTGGCGCTCTACCTGTATCAAATATTGGTCACCAACTTCTTGCATCAAAAAATACTATCCCTCTCCTGAGAACTTGTTCCGTTCCTGTAGACAATAATCAACCGATTAGTAAGTCTTTGGATATTTTGTTCGTACTATCTTATCTATCCCATTTTAAATTATGGACGTAAAGCCTTTACCTGTACGAGGATATCTCACCAGAAAGGCTGTTTTAATATATCTTACTGCTTAAGGTTCACTTCCTTGGAACCTCTTCATATGTAGCAGTAGTGTGTCTTGATCCACTTTAATGAGTAGTATGTGTCGAGGTTAACAATTGCTTGCAGCTTGAAAATACTGAGTCATGATTATTCATTTTTTTCATTTGATTTCTCAATTATTCGTCATCAGCTCAGAGTAAACATTACTAACTAGTCATGCTAAAACAGGCCAATGATTTCCAATACGCCTGCAAATTCATAAGTCTACTATTAAGGCAGGAACTGCTTTTTTCTCTCCACGTACTAACAGTGAAAAGGTGATATGGTGTTCGATGTCCAGTCTGGAAATAAACCAATTAGAATTGATCAGCATGAGTGATCGATGCACAGCTTAGGCGTAAATATAAAGAGATCTTGATATGTTACTTGAATTATCCCGTCTACGGAAGTTTTTCTGGTGACTTTTACACCTGGTACAGAAATCTGTTAAGTGAAGTGAAACCAGTCTCTTCTTAACTGTTTTCACACATAACTTACTATATTCACGAACAGTTTTGTTTTGGTTCTTCGCACACCAGTATCAAGGGAAAGGATAACAGTGTGATTCCCCACATCAAATAAGTTGTCGCTTGTATCGTGTATTACAACAAATTATCAGTATTCACCAATATTTTACTGCTTGACTCAGTATCTAACTTATGAATCAAAGGCACATTTCCGTCTCTAATATGACGGACTGGTTTCAACATAGAACTTTGCACCGATGTGCAGCAGTTCGAGTCGCCACACTTCACTCATCACACAAAGCCAGAGAAGAAAGTAAAAAGAAACGCAAAATAGAGACAGTAAACAGAAATATGAGGCAGAAAGAATAGTAATATCGAAGAACAATATAGTTTTATTGGAGATTATAAGTCACAAGGAGTGGATGCATCTACACCAGCCATTGAGAACGATTTTGAGCCATATCACCAATTGTTTCCAGCCATTAGTGTTTACCGTCCCAAGGACCCCAACCAGGCCGTCTCTAATATATCAAGCATATATATATATTTTTTAACTACTAATTATAATCTACCTCTATAGCAATATTAAGCCGAATACTTAATCAGCTGTCTATGCTTATACAATGACCACTTGATAATGCATACATATTTATCGACCGCTTAGATGTCATTTCGCCTGTGATGATAGTGATTCCCATGACTGCATTTCTTCTTACTTAATTCATATTTTTGTAGACAAAAACATACAGGCGTCTGTCCGTAACACTATCCATCATGTAATTATCGATTCACCCCCATCGAGATATGATTGGTTAGCCTACATTCACGTGTAAAGTATTGCTTAGACACACGTGCATGCCAAACTCATATGTTGTCGAAATCAATGCTAAAGGATTTCTTCACAGCTGATATTCTTATTCCAACCCAATTCAAGAACTGCACTCAACTTTTTTTTTTCATCACTAGTTGATATGGCTGAACAATCAGCTGTAGAAAGTGTTAAAAAGCAGTAGATTATCATTATTATTATTGTTGTTATTTTGTCTACCAGACTAACATCCAACTTTTAAATTGTGAAGTCGGCATTTAGAGTCTGACTCCTTATAAACATTTCCCATGGAATAAAGGATTTTCATCATGAGCTGACATTAGTTAGAGAACCATTGGAAAACCTGGGAGTACTGGACAGCTGTTTCGTCCTGGTTTGGGACTCTTCAGCAGTACGCACCCACCGGGATTCGAACCCAGGACCTTCTGGTTACAAGGCGAGCTCGTATATCATTAAGCCCATTTCCCATGGAATATTTCATCCTTATGATTTTTTAAATATATCAGAGCTAAATTTAATTCTACTGAATACCTATATTGTTTGTAGGTGTCACTTAGGCATAGTTTTACGCTAGTGGCTTTCAGCCAAGCACTCTACGTAAGAAGAACAATACTGCAATAGTTCTATAAGTAGATCCTGTATAAAAAGTTTTCAGTTGTGTAACAAAGAATGCGTTAAAATTATGACGTCTTTGGTTACCTTTCGATGTACGAAGGTTGCACGAGTATTCAGGTTACACATGTTTTCTTAGTTGCGTTATTGCTTATGCCATCATTATTCATCACCGATATCCGTGTCCCTTTTGTACTAAGACTGAGAAATATCGAGCTTATATTTTTGCTGTAGTATGTATGTATACATTCGAAAATCATTACTGGATGTCCTTCGATGTTCAAAGACAATTTCCTAGTGACATGTATACAATTCAGACTAGTGAACATAAAAACTTAGCAAAATCTAGATTGGTTGACCCGAATAAGATAAGAAATCTAGAGAATAGTTCAGCTATAGCACTACATGCAGTCACACAACCATACAATAGGATGGGGTAGGATGACAGTTTTAAAATATAATGTCACAGGGTATAGGGAGAGATTGATAACAGAAGCTTTGTTTATCGAATCAACTACAAATACATGTAATAGGAATGATTCATCACCTGTCCCCGATATTTGGAAAATTCTACTACCCATACGACAAATAGGAGAGAACAAAGAAAACTATAAAACTCAAGTGTCAAAGTCGTGTGATCACAATTGATATGATTATGAACAATAAATTTTGTTCGAAACGTCATCCAGTAAATAATACTGTTTCACTGTGTGATACACCTAATAAACAAACTAATATGGAATTACTTACTACCACAGTGCCCAAGTTTAACACATATATTAATATGTATACAATTTTCATTGTATCAATCCATATATTTTATCTCTGATGGATCACATACTTAAAAACTAAACATTTTTTGTTTAATAGCGAAGTTTTTTTCTGATCACTAATGAAAATTAAACTCATCAGGCAGCAAAAAGTCTTTATCATCTGATAAGTGTGGTAGCACCAGATTGCCGGTCAATTATCTCAAATCTCTTACCTTTGAACTTAAGTTTGAATTATAGGACTATTAAACCCAATAGTACTGACATTTTGGATACAGCTATGAAGGATGTGCATGCGAATGTAGATGTGATTGCAGAAAGACTTTTTGATCTCGAGTGGGTAGACGATATCGTCTCACTGTGTGATAATACATACGAGTATGGTATTTGCTTATCTCCGTCTAAATACTAAGTGTTATTGATAGGTCGGCAGGAGCCTGTATCTGCGCTCACCTTCGCAGGCGAACTGTTAGAAGTAGCTGATAAGTTCGTGTATCTAGGTAGTTGTATGAGTGCTGGCGGTGTGATGGGCAAAAAATACAGAGTGATATACGACAACCTTCGCCACATCTGACATCATAGCGACATTAGCCTGACCGTCAAATTTAGACTTTTCAATGCTTCGGTGCTCACAGTCTTACTCTGCGCCGGTGAACATGGGGGTGTACGGCAACTCCACGTATTCGATCATCACAGTCTTGGTAGAATTGCTTGTATACGGTGCCATAACCATATAAGTAATTCAGAATTCCAACCGAAGGTCGTATTTTAGTATGTTGTGCCATCTTGAAATACTGGCTTCAGTGGCTTAGAAGTGTACTAAGAATGCCATTCCAACGCCTTTCATACTGTTAATTGATTGCTAACCCTGGGACTGGGTGGATAAAGCAGTGGGGGGGGGTGGTCAACCCATAACGTGACTCTGTAGGATGAAGGATAGTTCTTCTAGGGTCAGCATCTGTTAGTGCATCACGACTCTCTTGGTGGACTCCGAGAGATAATTTGAATCAGTCGTTCGAGATATTATCAGATATGGTTGAGAATCGTAATCACTGGTGAACGTGCTGCAATCTCCTCCTTTCCTCCCTTTATGAAAGTAACATGAAGTGATGAACGCTCCCTAAATATTCTTAATTAGTAGGCTTGCCTATTTTCATAATCCTATTCCTCAATCATTCTTCCTCTTTTCTACATATTGTGTTTCATCGTTTTTTCTGTGTGTGTTAGGAGCATCCCTTAGCGCCCATAATAGTGTATCAGGTTTGTGTTCGAATGAATAAATAAAACAAACCTAATAGTATGCGCCAAAAGTACGTTAATTAAAGTCATCCTAGTTTACTTATTGTCGATCTACAATCAATTTAAACTGACGTAGGAAAGTTTGTCTGATTAATGTGATACAGTTCTGTGTGCTTAGCTTGATATCAATGAGCGTAATATTCATATTCAAGTAAAATTGAAGAGCTATTTTACTACGACATGAGGTTTGCAGCTCATTTAACTGAATACCATCAGTGAATTGACGTTTCTGATTCTAAACTTGTCACTAGTTAAGGTACTTCTTTTTAACGTCTTTCACTATTCCCCTTATTCTCTAGTGTTATAATGACAAATATTTTGACAACTGGAAAGTAACACATGGTTAGAGTTTTTTTGTTGTTGTTAAGTAACTTCATTTTACATTTTATGGGTACAATTTACTGTGGATTGTTTCATTACTTTTCTTCTTTACAGTTGATTCTCCTTCAAAACCACTGGATTCTTTGGAGTTTCATAATCACCATCCACTTGAAGAGAAAAAATCGTCAAAAACGCACTATCAGAACCATTTTTCTGTACTAGCTCGTACACTGGCTGGTTCAGATAATGATACTACTTCTATGCATTTGATGAAGCAGTATTCTTCTGAATCAGTGGCACTGCACAATAGTTCAGATTATTTGAAAATTGGAAAAGATAATACTTTTCATGACAATAAAAAACAACTTTCTCTAGCAAATGTTAATTTGCATAATACTACCAATTATTATGGCAATATCTCTAATAAAGCCGAAGGCATCTACACCTCTGAATTTCAAGATTCATCTTCTGCAATTGCCGCAGGAAAAACACAGACAACTGATTTGTTGTTTCGTCCACCGCGTAATACTTGGAAACATCGGCATAATATTCTTAATAATCAGTTATTTTCGGCGGCGGCGGCGGCGTTCATCACCATCATCTGTGATTAGTGATACAGTCATTAACACAACCAAAGCACCTGCATATTATACTTCAGATTGTTATCAGAAACAAGATTGCCTTTCCAGAATACTGACTCCTAAGAATTCAGATACATCTCTATCCGATCATTATCACCAATATACTAACCGGTCTGATGGATCACCAATAATAGAGCGTAAACAAGGCGGTCTGATACAGAATCTATCCTACGGTGAATATTTACCACAATTATTGAGCAGACATACAACCAAAGAAGATAGTTTGTGTACTGTGGATACATTGAACCGCAAACGTCCCAATGGCATAGACGAGGCTTCATTGAAAGCAGATGCTGCCTATTCCACATTTCAAAGTCACAGTAGAAACCAACCATATCAAAAGTCATCTAATGTAGTTATTCATCCTAAAACGCCTGAGTCTTCTGTAGCTACTATAACTACTACTACCAACACTGTTGTTAAACCGTATTTTAGTAATTCTGTAAGTAATATTTTCTTTATGTTTGTGTATGTTGAATAGTCGTGATTAATCTTCAGTATTTCTATGTGTAATGCTCAAAATGTTGTGAATCTTAAATTATCATATATTTTAATTTATCTAAGTAGTCATATGTAGTAATCCATGTTCTGCCCTCGGACAGAATGAATACTTAGCAGTGTGGGAATTCTAGGACAATGGTATATGGAATGAGTTTTGAACACATGATTCACTCGAACAACATTGGTCTTCGATGCATCTATAGCTCTTATAGTTTATAATTCTGTTGTTACTGTCTTAAAGTGAATCTAAGGCAGAGGTAAATGTGGAGCGTAAAGTTTTCACATCTGTTGTGTAGAGACGCGATCATGTGCTAACATGGTGCAATATCCAGTATTTTATTTCTGATCAAATACCGATAGGATAAATTATACCTCCTAAGGGTCGACTGAGTCGGTGGCATAGCGGTTAGGACGCTCGCCGACCATGCACATGGTCCGGGGTTCGATCCCCGGCTACAGACGCACTCCTTTACCTCGTTAAGCCAGAAGTAATGCTGGTGAAGAGGAAAGGTTGGACATGAGGCTAGCAATCCCATCCTGTAAAATAAACACTGCTACAGAAACTTCAAGCCACAAGCTTGAAGCCCTATGTTCCACTGGGGAACGTGAAGGAAAAAAAAAGAAGGGTCGACTACAAACTACAAATACAAAATGTCATGATAATTGGTATAAGTTGTTTGACGAACTGTGGACTTCCTGATTAATGTTACGAAAATGGTACTGTAACAACAGAAGACAAGGGCCAGGCAACAGAACGTTTATTACGGAAAATCAACACGTATTTATAGATTTTGATGTACATTATTGTAGGTTAATGTTAGTAGAAAATACAGTCTGTTGATTGGTTGTTTCTCACACAAAGTTAACCTTGCATCTCTTGTGGCTGTGTCAGTTCATCTATATGTTAACTGTATCCGCCTGTCCATCTTGACCTTTGACCTCAATTACTGTCAACCAATTTGGCTAGCAACCATCTCTCACCACAGTACAAGTGAATGTTTGGAGACATATTAAAGCCCTTCAAGTCTTATTTTATTAACACGAATGTATGCATACTTCATATTCCCCTCGACACTTTGTGTTCTTTCATAGCGTAAATCATGCATTAGCATGAATAAAGTGTTAAACACCTGTCGATATTCTTCTTTCGCCAAATTTATATACACTAATAATCAGCGTCCTAAGACATAAATGTTCTCGTCTTTGTTATCGTACACACACTATAACATCCTTATATCCTGTTAACTGAAATGTTTATATCAATTCATGTTCATCCGCTTAATACATTTACTTCGAAGTGCGAAATCACAGTCGATCGTTAGCCACTAAATAATATGAAGCTTTCACAGACCTTCAAAAAGTCAAGCATCACTGAGAAATGTGATATAATCTGATTTTATTCTAGTATTTTAGGGAAAATTCAAGCATAGTCTGAAACAAGTAGTTCATTCATCGTATGCTCTGTGTTGGGTACTCGAGGCTGCTCGGCCTTTCATAAACTAATGTCTAAATCCTCTAAGTAAAATGATTCAATATATCTGTGTTAGTCGGGCACATATATCAACCTTGTTTGTTTCTTACTACTCATTTGTGCGTTGTTTATATTTTAGTATATTCCCATTTCTCTTTGACGTTTCCATTTTGTATTGTCGTAAAGGGAAACACTTAAAACACACTTTTGTCTGCATTTCTGTCGTTTCTATCTGTTCGTCTATCTGCTTTCAACTTTAAGCAAGTGTTTGATTCAGTTTGAACTTTTCCTTTAATTGATTGAACCGAAGTGGTTCTATCTGTCTGGTTTCAATATAGAACTTTGCACCGATGTGCAGCAGTTCGAGTCGCCACACTTCACTCACACACAAAGCCAGAGAAGAAAGTAAAAAGAAATGCAAAATAGAGACAGTAAACAGAGATATGAGGCAGAAAGAATAGTAATATCGAAGAACAATATAGTTTTATTGGGTATTATAAGTCACAAGGAGTGGATGCATCTACACCAGCCATTGAGAACGATTTTGAGCCATATCACCGATTGTCTCCAGCCATTGGTTGTTAACATCCCGAGAACCCCAACCAGGAAGTCTACATCTTCCTACGTGGCTTAAACTAACTTGTGGATTTAATTGACTGATGAAGCCATGTTTTGGTTTGACCACCACTGATTGACTCTTTTCCAACCTGATCCATCCTATGTCAGCTAACATTGCCCGTCGAGGAAGGCGATGAATAGGCATGCGTAACACACGTCCTAACCATCTCAGTCTGTGTAACTTCACAGTCTCGTCGATTGACTTCCCCTCTTTACCTAGCACTCGACGCTCACCCTATTATACCATTTCACATGGGAGATAGAACGCAGGCACCTATGATCAAAGACAGCAAGCCAGGCTTTTCATGTCTTCCACTCTCAATGGCCGTGCCTCACTCACAACCATAAAGGAGGACGGAGCGGACTGCTGAGCAGTACACACGTCCTTTGGTCGACAGCCAGCCAGATATCACGTCTACTAAGCCAGAGATGGCGTAAACTGGCATATGCCAAAAGAGCCTTCTGTATCCGTGCTGAGATTTCGTCAACGATCAACCCGCTGGCGTTGGTTAATTCAACTTCCCAAATAAGTGAAGCGGTCAACACGCTCTACCACTTCACTCTCTATTTCTAAGCTAGGAGTCAATGTAGTCCAGTCCTGTAGCATCATCTCACATTTGGCGGGAGCGAATCACATGCCAAACCGAAGTGGTTGGTCTCGGGTTGAAGTATCGGCTCCATATGCAGGTGCTTCGACGATCTCCGATACTTTAACTTGAAGTAAATTGGTGGATGGTGACTAGCATTGGAATCCAGGATGCGCATTTCGTCCCATTCGGGACTGCAGTGTACCTGTAGTTCGCAGTGAGTGATGATGTTCCTACTGAGACTCGAACCCAGTATCCATAGCTTCAAACGCCAAAGCGTAATCCGCTAGACCACTTGGGTCACAAGAGTCACCTCTTATGCAACAGGTAGTAGTAATTATTTAATTCAATTTGAACTTTCCCGTTGAATAATTGAACCGAAGTGCTCGGCCTCAGGTTGCACAAGAGGTGGCTCTCGTGGCCCCCAAGTGGTCTAGTGGATAACAATTTAGCGTCTGAAACTATGGGTACTCGGTTCGAGCCGCAGTGGGAACACCATCACTCACTTGGAACTGCAGGTACACCCAGTAGCTGACGAGTCCCAAATGGGACGAAATGCGCATACTGGATTCCACTGCTAGCCGCCATTCACCAATTTACTTTAAGCAAGTGTGTTGAAATCTCTTCTAGTATAGTTTTGAATGCAGTCCTATGAGTTGTATTCTCCGTAGATGTTTGCAGGAGTTAATTTCGACAGACTGTCGTCACAAGATATTGTTTGCACTCATACTTTGTTGTGTGATTCCCTTCAAGTTCGTAGGTATGCATGAAAGGGTTGTTTATCAGTTTCGTTCATGAAATTAAATTCTTTTTCACAACAAGTTTTTGGATACTAAAGGGAAACAAATTGATCCCTCTAACATACAGGTACATGTGGCTGCCAAAAGAGTCGTTCGTTCTTATCTCACATAGGACCTGGTGTTTAATGATTATATAAAATAAATGCTATCCATCGTATGAAATGTCACAGACACAACAATGTGGACTATTTTATTGTTATTGTGTACATTTCCGTCATCAATTTCATGGCTTCACTGGACATCTCCATAGTAAACATGACGTTCAAGTGACTACGAATTGCTGTAGATGAGGTTAAATTACCTAATTTTTAACTGTTGTCTTGATAATTTACACCAGTATGGTTTGTTATAACCCTTTTTAAGATGCAGCTTCCATTATCATCTTTATTTCTGTTTTGACAGGCTATTCAGACCGATGTCAGGAGTGACAGTAAACTTGTTCCTGCAAATTCTAGTCCTGTTGCAATAGACTCTGGAGTAGTCAGTAAAGAACCAATGAATCATTTGAAGTCTTCATCTGTAGAATCTTCTTATAAGACGTTACCTGTCACCTTATCATCACCGTCATCTATTTTATCGAATCAAATGAATGTAAATGGTGCGCATGTTATTATGATGCTGTCACCATCAAATACAGTTCCTACATCTCTCCTTTCTTCAGTTTCAAATCAGATGATGTCATCGTCCTCATCCATAGCAGATACTAAGCAAACACCAAGCAATTGCACAGGCAAAAAGCAGTTAATTAACTCTTCACACATTCAAAACTTAAACAATTTTGGAGTAAGTTTAAACTCAGGAACATCAAAGTTTCCTTTACTTTTGGTGTCTGCTTCGTCGTCTGCTAGTGCAGCTGCTTTAGCAGAAGCTGCTGCATTAGCCACAGGAGCTCCACCTACAAGTTTAGTACCTGTTCCTGTACAGGTTACTACCTACGTGCCACCGTCAAAAGATCAGAATAATGGTGATCAGAGGAATAGTCAAAGTAATAATTCCTATTTCCTAAATGAAAACAATAATACCTCAAATCAACATTTTATACTTTCAGTTATGATGAATGATAATGATGAGAAATCACCTTCAGCGCCGATGGGTATACGACAGATACCACTTGTTTTAAGTGCTCCCATTTATCCCTCACATTCAAACTCCACTACCACCACAATCACCAAACATAATGATGCTAACAGTGCACAACGTCTTAGTCCTACATCGGAATCCAGTTGTATCCCATTTACCATCACATCCAGGGCCAGTGTGACCCCCCATCAAACTGCATGACTCATCCACGAGAATGACGGACAACGAGACAAGTAGTCAAGTTGTTACTGTTTGCAAAGAAGGCAACTATGCACAGTCTGCGTTTGTAAATTGATAAAATGTTGTTCTACTATGCCCGACATATTATTGTTTTCGAGCGGTGAATGTGTCTTTGTGTGTCTATCTGTCTGTCTGATTGTTTTATTCACCATCGTTATATACTCCAACTAGTCGCTTTTATGGGAAACAATTTGCAGCCATCTCTTATGGATATTGTTAACTCTTATGTAGGCAACACCTTCTTTTGACACAGTTTTCTGTTGCTTCGTTTATTATTGCCGTGACAAGTTTTTGTCCCTATTTTCTTCGTTCATCATCTTCATAATGTCCGTTGTAACTAGGAGTCTTTAATCTTACTATTAACAGTAATTTGTTTGTTGTTCCACCTCCACGTTTTTCTTCTCTTTTTTCTGTTATTCTTGTATTAAAGCTCCATAAAACAATGCTTGACAACATTATTATTATTATTTGTTACGGTTACTGTTTCAACAACTTCTTATGTAATCCCAATCTGCGCCCATTGATACTACCTGCACATTTTATTCTATTTCATTACTACTTCTATCTCTTAATGTTTACGTGTAAGACTGTGTAACGCTACCGTTTGTGCTACCACCCACTCACCCATCATCATTCGTTATCCTTCTCCTTACCCCCCACCACTCCTCGTAGGTGTTCGTTACAACAATAGAATAACGCTTGTGAACACTTTTTCACATTTATTGTTTTTTTCACATATATGAGGAAGTTTGAAGTAATTTCAGTTATTGATATTGCATAATCCTCCTCCTAGGCTCTCCTTCATTTTCTTTTTCTGGTTGCACCAATTTTCTTTTATCTTTCTTATGTTTACTAATGAATAATTGTGTCGGCACTCTTTTTTGTGGCTGATACCCATCTCTTTTTGCACATGTTTTCACATACATTAGGTATTAAGAAGTTACACAAAGTTACGCTAGGCCGAAATAAACTAACTCCTGTTGTTTTTCTTTTCTTTTCCTTTTTTGTCTTCGAGGACTATTTTACGAGAAAAAGTCCTGAGAATGTGAAATTGCATTTCTCTTCTCCTTTCTATGTTTTTTATTTATCCCCCGTCTTCTCATGTGTGAATGGTTTCTGCTTCACACAACCACTACACTGAAAAAGGGAATTATGAAACAAACATTCTACCCCGGTCCTTTGCTAAACCGCATGCGCATACCCATTTTTACAAAAGGAAAAAAAATAGGAACACCTCTGTCCCACTACTACTACTACCTGTTTTTGGTTGTGTGTTGTAGGCGTCAAGTGATGCTAACTTTATGTGTGTTATTTTCGGTGATTTTTTCTCTCTCTGGAACTCTTGTTAATTATTATTTACTTTTTTTTGAGGAAACAACTTAAATTAACTTGTAAGTTGAGTCTCTTTTCTTATCATTATTATTATTATTATCTTTCATTGAGTCGCATGATTCGACTTTCTGTTTCCAGGAGAAACTGTATGCCTGTACGTGTGCTTATGTGTGTGAAAGTGTGGCGGTATCCTAATTGAAGAAGACTTTTAAAAAGGTATTCTACTCTTTCTTTCTCTCTCTCTCTCTCTCTTGTATCCTTCTTTTGTGTTTTTAGGTCAAAAATTGTAAACAAAAACAGTGGAGCAAAGTAAAAATAAAAGGAGTAAAATCACAAATGAAAGTAAACAATGTTTTGTTTTCTAAGTAGGTGGCGGGGGGTCAGTAGTCGTGTTATTTCACTCATGACATAAGTAGCTTCTTTTATAAAAGGCGGCACCAATAATCGTACTTTGTTCGTGTGTGCGTTGTTGAGAAGATAATGTGGGGGGAGATTTGGTGTTTTCTTCGCTTGCATAATTGATTGTGTAGAGCATATTTGTCGTTTGAGAGAGTTATTGAATATATGAAATAATCGTAAACATGGTATTCGTTGTAACGATTTGATGATGAAGTCTTCTGTAACACATACTAACCTTAGCTAGCCAAACTCTTGTAATAACAGGATTCGACTGAAGAACCAGACTATAAGAATGTACTGGCATTGGTCTATATGCATTGCTTTTGTTAATTTTTTCTTGCTGAGGTATTAAAATATATGACTACAGTCAGTGTTATATTCTAAACTAGTCGTGACCAGTAGGGTGAAGCAGGTCGGGTGTGAGGACAAATACTCGCCGAAGACATTGGCTAGGGGTCGCGCTATGTCGTGAATTGGCAGAAGTTAGAATTCATAGGCCATTGGATTGGGTCCCAGTGGCTTAATGATATACGAGCTCGCCTTGTAACCAGAAGGTCCTGGGTTCGAATCCCGATGGGTGCGTACTGATGAAGAGTGGCAAACTAGGACGAAACAGCTGTCCAGTACTCCCAGCTGGTTTTCCAATGGTTCTCTAACTAATGTCAGCTCATGATGAAATCCTGTAAACTAGTTTAGTTTAGATATTGGTAACTATTAAGTAATCCATAAACGCTTGTGGCTTCAAGATACTAAATCCAACATTGAGAAGATTTAATGCCTTTTCCAGCTGTATCAGGTGATCCTCTCACCTACTGAACAGCTGTCATGTTTGTTTTGTTTTGATGTTCGTCTGAACTGTTGAGTTTATCGCTTGATAATTTAGTGAAATTATCACTGTTCAGTAGTTCTAGTTCAGCTGACCATTAACACACAGACTGGCTTTTAAGCCAAGGCATAACATTTTCCTTTCGATTTGTTTATTGTCCAATACTGTTTTACCATCAAGTATTTCCTTGTAAGTAATTTCCGAGTAAAGCAAGCATCGATAGCATGTAACATTGTTCGATCTGAGGTGTATATACTGCAATCTCACACAATGTCTGTTTTTTTCTCTCCGGAAAATGCAGACGAATATATTGAGGACTGCATGGATTTCATCCGGCCAGTTCATACATTCAACAGAGATTAAAAGCGCCGTAGGTGGAATAATAATATAAGGTTATTGCCACTAGGAAACAACCTCTTTTACCTACCTGGGAAGCATCGTTTCAACTACAGGCAACGGAACTGACGAGGATATCAAAGCAAGAATCGGAAAAGCAAGACAAGCTTTCACTACTCTCAAGTCTGTGTGGAGGTCAACAGCACTCAGCATGAAAATGAAAATAAGATCCGGATTTTCAACTCCAATGTGAAGTCAGTGCTACTTACTATACGGATCAGAGACTTGCACTGCGCGTCATAAAGAGCATCTCAAACAAACTACAGACCTTCATTAACAGTTGTCTTCGCTCAGTACTACACAAGATCAGATGGCCAGAAATGATAAGCAACAGAGATCTCTGGGAGCGAACCAACCAGGAACCGATTGTGAAACAAATAAGCAGGAAGAAATGGAGGTGGATTGGCCATACTCTGAGGAAACCATCAAGTGACATCACTAGACAAGCCATTGCTCGAGTGGAACCCGAAAGGGAAGCGGCGAGTTGGTCATCAGTGCGAGGGTGACTTGGAGGAGGTCATGTGAAGAGGAGATGAAAACGTGTGGGCAGACTTGGAGCCAGGTGAAGACTCTAGCAGAGAACCGAACGCAATGGAGAGGCAGGGCTGAAGCCCTATGTTCCTGTAGGAATTAAAGGAAACAATAATAATAATTGCCAGTAGAGTGAAATGCTTTTCCCGTCTACTTAATGACTTGTTCACACAATAATTCGGTAGTCCGATTACTTTCAGCTGAACAAATTAATTAAGGTCAACTTCTGTAATATTACTGTAGGTTACTTAGGTCTTTCATTGTGTTGCTTTCGACTTCAACAAATTCAAAGTATGGAAGAAAAATGAATTCACATTTATATGGTTAGTTTGATTTCTTCTTTTCCATTAGTGTGTCTAATAGTTAGTTAGTTATTCAGCGTTAGACTGACTACCACGCACAATTATCAAATTTTTGGGTAGGACTAGTCTAGCAGAAATAAGTGTATTTGTGTAATATGCTGTCTAACGGATGACAATAGTCAGTCAGCACATTGTTGATGACGCAGACACGATCGACATAAATGCCAAATACAAATACAAAACTACTTTATTGAGCTTTTGTATGACTGAATTTCTTACTTAATGTTTCCAGTCAAATTCATTGGTTAATAAAAAAGAACAGCTGATATGGCACAATCAATTACTTTGCAATCGATGAAAGCACTTAAGTAATTCATGTAATTCTGGAAAAAAGTAAATTATGTGTAACTGACTACTATCAATTAAACAATCATAAGATAGATTTTGATCAACGCATAGGAATGGACAACTAACTGATTTAGATAAATCACTAATTTCTATTAGCAGATAACTGTGACATATAAATAGCTTAGCGTTAAATCCTCTGACTTTGAAACTAAGCGATACACGTCCGACACTTACATAAACTACTGATTCCCAAAGTTACAGATTTGCTAATAGGCAATCACGGTCAATAAGGTGATTAACTTCTAATATTTAATTCCTATAACTTACTAACTAATAAGTGTTAAGAAACTATGTGTCTGTGCCGAAATTTGATCAGTAGCCAGACTATTAAGTTTTTTAATAATAATAATAATTTGCTTTATTCCAGAAACAGTACTAGTGGTACAGTGTGGAATTTTCAGCACATATCTACAGTATTTGCATCTAATTTTATCAAACATTTAAAAGGAGTATTTACCAAAAAAAAAAATCTAAAGACACCAACAGCAAAAAAAAAACACAGGAAAAGCACAAAATAATTTTTAAAAAATGCGAAAAAAATATCAAGAAGTTGAGAGGAAAATAAACAGCATATAATAATAACTCAGTATTGGGTAGTGGAAGCTATGATGTGATTATGCATGGTGACAGTAACGCTATAGCCATACAAGAAGTTATGAAATGATATTTAAGAATGTTTATCGCCACGATGATCAGTTAATGTGGTTGAAACAACTCTAAACAATTATAAAACAACATTTCAGGGTTGTTGTTTTGTTTTTTATTGTCAGGTCTAATGCAGTGTTT